TACCTCACAGGTACTATCAATCTATAATTTATTGTATGCTTGACGCATTTAAACGTATTTAAACAATAATGCGAGCGCGCAATGTACGACGGGTGGTTATTATTCTTTAAGCATTACAAATTTATAATGACTTTCAAATATTAACCTTCAATCTTTCCAAAATCTACGGCGATTGCAATTTCGAACTTAACAAAGGCACATTTTTTAACATTCTTGTAGCACTATAGAATCTTGCCTATTTGTAGCACATTTGATTATTAAGAAGAATCAGTCTACCTAATTTATCATAGCCTGCATTAAGTTGACTAAATGTGGACTTGATCTACTGGTCCCAGTTACTACAAATATGCAAATCAGTGTCCACAAATCACAGGCGCAATACATCATTGCATTTTTGAAAATCGATGTCGAGATAGTATGTGGGATCCCTGTGTTTTATTGGAATTTATTCCAACTAAACCTCTACGCCATCTTGACGAAACACTTCCACCTCGTCTGGCTGAAAGTTGTACGATCCTGCAAGAAGGTTCTTTGCTTTAGTTGATCCATATGTGTAGCCCTTAATCTGTAAATAGCTATGTCCAAGATTCGTATAGGAGTTTGTGTTGCTACCAGCATTATYAYWAATAYGTATGTCAYGGCCGCCTCCAAAGGTTGGTCCGTAGCTGCTACYTCCATAAATTGCMYWTYSCGWTYTRAAAACTTTCATTTTAAATGGCTTCAAGTTATCTCTGTTTACGAATGAGAACAGGAACGAGTTGACTGATATGCTGTAAGAACCACTGGAATCTTAAAAAAGAAGCCAATTTTGATACTTTGCTGTGAACATACAAAAAATGATTAACAGCTGASATACTTACGCCAGCTGACGTCTGTATAGCCTCCAAATATGTATTTGTTCACTTTGATGATTGTAATAGTCGGGCCTATACTATTACACTKAGAATGGAATGTGCTGCTTGACCATCCGTGAAGTCTGCTTCGATAGCAGGTTACCCATTTTACTGGCATGTCTATCACTGGAGCCAGCCATTCTCTCATGATATCRTAGTAATCCTCTCGATTTTTGAGGATGTTTGAATGCAATATATGGCCTGAGAAAAAGTTATACATGGGCAATCTCAATATTGGAATTAAAACAAAAATCAAGTTTCAGGTTAAGATTGTGTAGTATGTACGTTAATGGTCGTATTCTTAGATAGAATGAGTTAAACGCTCAGGCTTTATTTTCTGCATTGGCTTCTATATATTGTTCTAGAGTCGTAATGCAAGCTGCAGATTTTTCAAATAGTCAGATAATCACAATCTCGCATAAGGATTGATGAAAACAACCATAAGCCACTATTGGAGGATGAAAAAATAAAGTTGCTGACGATGTAACAAGGCATGAGAGCTATAGACTTTTTGATATCCTAACGATAGACGAAATCTAATTATAAGCTAAACAATGGTGTTTATATTTCAACGTGCTTTCGTATGGGTTTTCGTAGTGAGCTTGGAGAAAGTGTTCTAAGGTCATTCACTTACTTTTACATTGTGTTTTACCAGTGGTAAAGTTTCCATTCAAATCWGTCCAGTTTCCTGTGCTGGGATCACATACGAGCTGGCGGTTTCCACGGAGCCAGTAACCGGGATTGCAAATGATAGTGAGAGTGCTGTTGGCCAGGAAATCGCCTACAATGTACCCATTCTCGGGAGGTACGATCTCRGGACAAACACGACGACCTATCAAACAGAAAAATTCATCACTTATTTCGTTTATTTAGGTGCCGATGAACGGTAATACTGTTCTGGATAGATGAAAACACGTAATGACAGTAACGTTACTTCGCTAAATGTGAGATTGATAACGTGGCTAATTCATGATTTTAATCGGGCGTAAAATGTATGGAAAATTCTGCTCCAGGAGTTAGATGAAGAGCTAGATAATGACCATTGCAAACAACACTCCTCGCAGTTTTTTTTGTTTTGATTGAGGGAGAAAAATAAGCGGACCTTGAGAAAAACCCTCGGAGAAAGGAAGAGAACTAGTCTACAAACTCAAATCACATATAATCAAGTATCGGGAATCAAACCGGAACACAGTGCAAGTTAGTAAAAAGAAAGGGAAAAATAACTTACATGATGGAATGGAGTTGCTCCATACACCGTTTGGCAGACAAAGTCGGATGAATGGTCCCACCAAGTAGTAACCAGGATCACAAGTATAAAATACCATATTCCCAGCCCATAACTCTTTGCCAGTGCGATAGCCATTCAGGGGTTTTCCAGGATCACCACAGCTCAGTAGAGCTATAACACGAAAATAAATTCAAATCTTAAATTTTATAGTTTGTGTCAATTGTAATATCGTTGTAGATGGGTAGAGTTTGTGGTGTTAAGTTTAGGCCCCATTTTGCACTTAAAGCCTCGAGAATGAGTTCTGAATTAATGTATTTTTGATATTCGATTGGTGGGACAATGGCCGGTTTTGATATAGTATTATTGTTGTTTAAGGGGCGTATTATAATCGTCTCCTTTATTCTTGAACTTACAGACTTGTATTGTAGTTCCAGTAGTTCTCATAGTTTTGTCGTAGTTTCTAAAAAAACATTTGTATCGTCCTTCGTGTTGAGACATGAACGGATCAATAACCAANATTAATGAGTTATTAGGCCAATAGAATGAGCCTATTTGGTCACATGTATATATGGACCTTTATATCTGATAAAACAATCCTTATTAGTATTCTTTGAATAAATGTGACCAGGTCTGGTACCTGATCATTGACCAATGTAGGATGTTCTATTTTACGTTATGCGTATTCAATGTGGGATGGCAAGAGTGCTTTGTAAAGTGATTCGTGCATGATCAGTTTACCCCATTTATCTCAAAATTTATTTTTACGACAATTTCAAACGTATTTGAGTTTCAAATTAGTGTTTGAGTTTTTGAAGCCGTTTAAAACACTCGAGATAGTGTTTTATCAGGTCTAAAGATTCTTTCCTTCGGCTCGAATCTTTATACCTGAGAAAACACGATCTCGAGTGTTTTAAACTATACTTAACTATTTTAATCCTAATTGGACGTTAATCCAAGTGCACTTTAAATCCGGTTGAATGAACGCTTTGTTCCAGATAATTCTAAATATTATTTATTATTCTATACAGCTATTTGCAATAATTCTGACCCCACTACACTAATATTCATATATATCAAAGTAGCCTTAGAAATTATGGGATACCAATGCTGATATTTTTTTGAGAAAGTACTCATTCTGGGCAACTCAAAAAATATATCAGTCATGATATCCCATAATATTTAAGGTCAGTTTGATATATATGAAATATGGCAGAGGGGGTCAGAATTATTGCAAATAGCTGTATATATTATATATACTGTATTATATATATATTGTTTATTTCTCGTTTCCATGCCTACCTTACTCCTATTGATCTACTTTCTTTGCTTCTCTCATTATATAAACTCACACTTATCCTATCTTAGTCTCATCTCTTCACTACGACGAAGGATTAACGTTGGACTTATTACGGTGATGAATTTATCTTTTTACACGACTGTTTCTTTAGAAACACCGACCCATCTCACACTAGTTTGCCGCTAGTTTTCCACTATTATTTTTTTATTATATTACCATTGTCATTGGTTATCTTCAACATTAATAGTTGAAGCTTTTTCTATGAAATGTATATGAGCTTGTATACTTTTGAAACATGTATTAAACAATGAATATTTCGCGTTGATTTCGTTCTCGTCAAGTACCCACCAAGCGAATGGATAAGAGTTGATGCGTTTCCAGAGAGCGCTGTTCCTGGCTCTCCCCTCGGTCCTTTAGGGCCTGGTCCTCCAGGAGGACCTCGTTTTCCAGGAGATCCTCGAAATCCTCGTTTACCACGTCTTCCTCTTTGTCCACTTGSACCTTTTGGACCTTGTGGGCCTGGTGTTCCGGGTGGACCTTATGTTAAATAAAGATTTTCTCATCACAAAAATCATTAACAGTTTGTTGGAATATTGAAGAAAATTTCATACCTCTAACACAAACTGGTTTACTCGATGGTTTGGACGATTTTAACTATGAGATAAATAGCGTTTCTATTAATACAACCTGACTTTGATTTATTCATTCTTAAAAGGTCACAAATTTTCAGAGTCTGTTATTTGATATGCACGAAATGTTAGATTTCAATAGAAATGTCTGTAAAATATTA